TAATATATTTTAAAATACTAATCCAAACGTTGTTACCTTAGATTCATCGTTTTATAGTTTACCTTAACTAAATATACATGTTTCCGTTTAATAAACTTAAGTTGATATAATGTTAAGGGTGAAAAAGGAGTGAAGGGACCAAATTTTTTCTAAAAATTATAGAATGTAATATAATATTTACATTTGAAAAGAACAACATTTTTTTACATTTTCAAAGATAGTGCGTCAGATTTAAAGAAGGTGAGTCATACTAAAATAATCGCTCTGCATACATAATTAATTCTTACAACAAAAATATTTATGTATGAATAATAATTCTATTTTATAATATACGATAAATATGAAGTCATCAATACAAAAACAATTAGTGTTAAAACTAATCTCCCTGTTTGAACTTAAGAACTTCCAGGTAATGATCAACTTTGAATTATTGTGTATTATAGAAAGTTGGTTTTGGTCTAAACAATAGTAGGTTTAGAATACATAGAAAATTGACAGGGCGGAACCGACAAGAGCATACTCTTGTATACGATTAAAAGGCTACCTTATTTTGAATACTTCAAATTCTGTTGTTATCTCGAAAACCACATATTTACTGAATTTGCTATAAAATAAAATATTAGAAAAATACTACAGAAGATTATTTTATAGTCAAGTTTATTCTATCTATAGATAAAGTTGCGAAACTATGACAAATCCAATAACTTTTGATGTAGTTATCATTTCGTTAACAAATTTTTTTTTTTAATAATTATTGCCTTTTTAGAACATAATTAAAGCATATTTTTTAATATTTTCACTAATAAAAAACAAAATGATCATTTAGAATTTTTTTTTAAATATAAAAGAGCCATTTTTAGTATTTTTCTTATAAAAATTGTTGATGGGTCGATAACAATTTCAGAATAAGTATTTATCGAGTTTGCATTCATCCAATCTATATACCCTGTCTATGTATTATTATGCTTCATTTAACTCAATACATATTTGTCTTAAAATGTATAATCCTGTATAGTAAAGGCTATTTTATTGTATTCAATATTAAAATATGTTGATTTTAGTATACAATCAACAAGTTTAATAAATTAATTGTTTTATTTTTTATAGCTTATCTAAATTTATTATTAAAATTCATTAGTATTCTTAGTATTCTTATTTATTAAATAAGTATTTTTAAGTATTTATATTCATTAAGTATTTTGGAAGTTTTTGACACTTCAATAAATAAACTGGGTAAGGTTGGGGTTATATTTTTTTTATCATTATGCATTCCTCTGCTGCAATACTTCTCTTTTCAAGGTATTAAAATAATAATAACTCCTCACCTACTAGTTCGAAAGGTCTTATCAAAAAATTGTCTAATTAAGAAATTGACCCTTAATTAGACAATTTTCTAACATTTAAGATACTTAAATATGTATATTATTACTTATAAAAAATAAATTTAACATCATTATACAGGAAGGATCTAAAAATATTTAACCACTAATAAATCAGAAAATAAAAATAAATAAATACTCGTATTTTTTTCAAATATATAATTATATATAGGGTGATTTGTTAATTATATCTCTTGCATTATATTCAAAAATACAAGATAAAATATATTTTATTTGAAATTATTTTTATTAAAAAGAATAAGTATTTTTACATAATTTCGGGAAGAGAAGATTGATTCATAATTGTATAAAAATAAAAAGATCCACTCTTTACCTCCATTTAATTTTTTTAACTGATAATATCTTTTCAAATTTTTTTGAGACATAGTTGGGGTGTTTTTCTTTATAATTTATATATATATATATATATTTATTAACAATGATTGTTAATAAATAAAATCAGAAAATAGTGCATTCTTTGTACATGAAATTGCTATGGTGCAGAATAATTTAAATGCTCTGTTAGACTTTTTTGACTCAGCATAAAAGACTGAACTACCTAAAAAGTTGAAATTTATTTAAATTGGGTATGTAACAAAATAAAAAAAGGAATCTTTATAATGACACTCGCCTTAAAAAAATCGCTGAGGGGTATCGTATAAAATGAGGGAATACCAAAGTGAAGTTTCTTTATTTATAATTGAGTTAAGTTGAAAACACGCTTCAAAACCCATTCTTTAGTAAAAATCACATTGCAAACTATTCCATGATAGTGAAAAGTATTTCTCATACTTTATGAAATTCCCTTAAGGTATAGCTATTATAAAGTGTGTAACCAGGCCAATATTAATTTAGTCTAAAAACTGTTATCAACCCATTATAAATTTATGCAATAAAAATACATAAAACTGGCTATTTTTAAATAAAATAAAATATTGTTTTACTTTATTTATTGTTAAAAACAAATGAAAAAATATAATTTTATCGTATTATAAGAATGCATAAATTATTTAAAAAAAAGTTACACCTAAATGTTGATTGTATAATAAAAGTTTTAAGTGTTATCAGTTAGATATATTCCTCTGTTTATAATATATTATGCCTCAAGCATTAACCTCATTGCAGATAAAATATTAAATAAACCACCAAATCTAAATCATCGCGTGGAAATGGTTTGTTGAAATAAATTAATGAATTTTTAAACGTCATTAGCAGTACCAAAACATTTTTGGGAGTTTTACCACTCATTGTCACAGGCACTGACGCTAATAGTTAATACATCAAAATAGTTATATAATGCACAATAAAATTAGACTATCGTTATTGTTGATGTGCGTCACGTTAAAACCACCTAATACCACGTTGTTTTCTGCCGAGAAATAATTTTGTTGTAGTCATAAAAATAAAACTGCGTTTGTATCCAAAGATATGGATTGTCATTGAAATCGGTTCAACACCAGAGACAGACTATCGAGTACTATGTAAGTCATGTGAAGGGGACAGTCATTAAAAAAAATTATATGCGGGTAACTAGAGATAGATTTACATGAATATAAAAATCCGCAATAAAAAAAAAATGATAACAGAGACGAAGAAGTATAGTGCTGTCATGGAGTGGGGTCATAAAAGTATGTTCAAGTTCCGGCAGTTCGTGTCATGTTTTTTACTATGTCGATTGGGGGTGGTTATATATAGTGGTGGGGGCGTTTTTATATATTTTCTAAATAAAGCTCCGACATGATTCACACACGCACATACGCATGGACTTTTAGTAGCCCTACCAAATTCCAAACGTATACATACACGGTCGGAAACAGAGGGCATGATGGGTATGCACTAAAGTTGTCTCGGTGAATATCGATGCAACAACAAGGGGAGAAAAATAGCTGCTAGACATTATTTATATAAAATGTATGTTCTGCACTATTCGACAAACTACTATGTATCAACCGTAAGATATATTCGCCATGGTATTTTTGCTTTTGACTCTAAGCTTCAGATGATACCGTGTGCCACTTCAATATGGTAGTACTAGATAAAATAACTTTATTGTTATATTTTGGTTTTTTTATTTTGATGAGAACAAAAATAAATGTATCGTTACTTAAAAGTGAAGATTAATGATTTGCATAATTTAAGGTAGCAATTCAAAAAAAATCAAATATCAAATGAAAAAAGTGCTTAGCAGTAATCTTATATATTTAGAGTTTTCCAGTAAAGATAAAACTTATGTAAACACAGACTGAATAAAACAGTTGGAGAAATCCGTGAATCAACATCGGATGACGGGTTTGCAGAGCCTTTTTAATGTAAAACCTAACGAATCGTAACATCAAGAGTGTTTGGGCACCGTCGACGATAGATTGAAAGGTTAGCAAGCCAGCAAGACTGTACAGGTCGGGAAGACGTACATTGCATAAATTACTCCGCTCGTTGATTGTAAATTCAAAATAACTAAACAAAGCTGATCACCAAAAAGAATTAAAGATAAATGTATTAACAAAGCAAACTATTTTTACCCAACACCAATTAACTTTTAAGGGTAAAAATAACTAACACGAATAATTATAATAAATGTCTTACTAGACATGAAAGATTGCTACATAATTAGAAATTCGAGACAAATATATAATGAACATAATACATAGTAAATCGAGAATTTTAATTAAATAGTTCAAGACAGATACTTTTGATTTTCATTAAACTGTTCTCAATTTTTATGCATAAATAGCACAATATTGTGGCTAATCCTATTTACACTACACTATGAATGGAAATATACAGTATGTATGCAATAAGTAAGTGCACGAAGTTATACGGCATGCTTATATTCAATTAAAAAAACGTAAAACATAATTAAAACACAAGAATGTAACAATTTTATTTGGTACAATACTGAATAATAATAAATAATCGTTAGTGATAGAGTCAAGAAAAGGGGCTGAAGTTTCCAAGAGGGATCGTATAATTGTAAAAAAAAAAATACTTAGAAAAAAATTTAAAATTAATTATTTAATTTAATTTAGAAATACTACCCCCCAAATATTTGTTTAAATGATAATTTGTTTATAAAAATATATCGAATTAAGATTTATTTATTTTTATGAACTGTGTTTTTATGTCAAGTTTATTGTAAAAAAACTATACTTAGGGGTAAATTAATTACATTTAAAACGCGGAGATATTTATTAACATTTGTTCAAATCTCAATAGTATGCCATCATAATTTACTTGTAATAGATTTATAAAGAATATTTCATGAAAAAAACAGAAATGGTAGTCTTTTTGTCATTTATGATGGTTTCAAATGCCTATGATATTACCATTTACTATATTACTAATTTATTGGTCGTTTAATGAAGACTCTACAAATCGAGGGAGACTAAACGAGTACTTCATTCTTAATTTTACTTTGTCGTATAATTTATGCTTCTCACGAATAACTAGTAAATTTTACTCCATAATAATGATAATGGTAATGATGATGGTGATTATAATAGAAGTAATAATAATAATATTATAACGTTAACGGGTTTTATGACCCGCACACTCTTAATCATTGAGACTCCATAAAGCTTTCAACCAATTATTATCTAAGTACTACTACTTTTTTTTACATACCGGTCAACTTATTTGAGAAACTGTATTAAACACCTGAAAAAAAAAAAAAATTTATTAAAATTTCTTTAATACTAAGTATTTTTACCGAACATGAAAGTTCAAATGTTTTGTAATGAAGCTATTGTACTTATTATAATTGAATTATTTTAATTTTAAATAACCTAATAAAAGAATTGGTTCATACAAAAATAAAATCCTTCTAAGTATAATATTGTTATATTGATTTGTATTAATTAACACATAAATATTCTAGAACTTAATAATTGTTTTCACATTGAAATTAGTTTTAAATAATAAATTAAAACACGATAGTACAACTAATTAATTAATGTGATTTTATATGAGGAAATTTAAAAATGGAGTAACCATATAAACAATAGTGTACAAAGATATATACAGGTTATTCTACCAGGCATTGACACATTTAATAACTTTCTATTCAGGGATTAATTTGCGTTACCTTTTAAATCATTTTTACAGTTTTGGAGTACATTAAAAGCAAATTTTTAATTATTTATTTCTGCGAAGAAAAAGAATTCGATTTTTCTATTAATTTATAAAATTTTACCCTGTAATCTCCATTCATTTTTATTTTCAATAAACATTATATTTATGGTAATTTTTTTTATGGTTGAATATTTATTACATAGAAAACGAGATTTTTTGTATTTTATGCAATTATTTTTATATGATTTATTAAGAGTTCCTTTAATTTGAAGTATTACCTATCAGTAAAAGATATCGTAAATTGTTTGGAACACATTGACGTGTGTAGTGGACTATGAGAGTTATAAAGACATCTAATGATGTATTCTGAAAGTTTTGTTTAATTATTCTATCGAGAGGTGTTATATTTTTTAAACATTTCATTTATTAAAATATTTAATTATAGATTATCGGTTAATTATAAGCAGTAAATGTCGGGTTTTCGAATATCGGAAAGTAGTGATGTCGGCCCAGCCCTGCAAATAATATTCCATTTTCACGGCTGTTAAACTTATTCATGTATGTTCGCTTGGTACTGAATCTATTCACCGGAGGGAAGATCAGGTGTAGAAGCGTTGGAAAGGAGTAAAAACCAATCAACCGTGATGTTTATTCAAACGAACATGTGCAAAAACGTTTGTTTTATTTTTTAACATTTTTACTCTATCGTTTTACACACACGATCCATGGCAAATGCACTCGGAAAATAATTCAAAAGATACAGTCTTGTGACAACTCCGTAATTGACTCCATGTCTTTGCGCCAGTCGTACAACATTTCCAATACACTGTCTATACGGTCCAATGGCTAACGAAATGTGTTCAAGGAGTGAAATACAATTTGGACGAGTCACAGATATGTGAAACTTCATTGTACTATCAATAAAAAAAAAGGCGAATCATTTAAATTTCAGATTACTTTAATGTAATTCTACATAGTTCAAACATTTTCTTATTTGAATTAGTAAACGATAAATTTAGTTTCTTTATCAATTGATGTTCACAAATATTATTTTATTGATAAAAAAACGTGCAGCTATTCCATTAGCATATAATTTTGAATCTCATCGTAAAGTTTCACTTAAGAAAATTAACTTGAACTCAATCAAAATACTAAAAAATTGTAATCAATTTAAATTGATAGTCTTAAAATGACATTTTAAATTATGCCTCATATATTCTAAGAATAAAATATTATTTAAATTTTTTTTTAACATTTAAACAAAATTATTATAAAGAAATATATTTAAGTACTTTTTGGGCTAATACTAGAGAAATAATTTGATTTGTGATACGATATTCAAAGGCAGTTATAGTTCTGTGAATACATTTTAGATTTTTGTTACAAATACTTTTGTATATTATAGGTTTTCAATTTAATTACTAATTTATATAAAAACTCATATTATCTCATAAGGATAATATTTTTTTGAATATAATAAATAGTAAAGTCTTAGAAACACGTTGTCGTATTAAACATTATTTATTATTAAATCACTATATTTCATTATTTTATTTATTAAGCAGAAAATAAAGGTGAAATTGAAATAGACTGAAATATATTTGATACGTATTATCTACTATTTTAATTATAACATAATTCATAATAGCTTTTCATATTTTAATGAAATTTACTATATATGGTGAGCTTTTTAGTTGGACATATTTTTATAGATTACCAGTTTATATTAGACCTTTATTAGTTATAAATCATAACTAATCGGACACATATTATTATAACATATGGAAGTATAGTATCGATGCTGATGTTGGTTAGAAGGGTATGTCACATGTTTATTATTTACAACTCATGTTTGAGTGATGGACTACTCGCATTTCATTAAAATACGATCAATTCTTTTATTTTTTCAGGAAATTTAGTTTTAATTTGTTGTCTACTTAAGTATTATTAACACTAAATTTTAGCTAAATATAAAACAACATTCAAGTGAAAGCTGTTTTCACAGTACTTTATGGCCGTTTGAGGGAAGTATATTATTGTTTTAACTAAAAAAATCCATTAATTTAAGATTATATTGTTAAACAACAGAGAAATTCCAAATAAAATACTAAATTATATTAATATATATATATATATTATATATATTATATAAAATTATATAAATTATATGAAGTTTCAATAAATCGATGATAAAATAATTTAAATTATAAAAAATACGGTAATCTTTAAAACTAAGATAAATATAAACAAGTAAAAACAAAATAAACGATATTTATAAATATTTTTCGACATTTCAATGAACCCATTGTTGAACAATATTTTATTAAATTACGTAATTAGATAAGAATATTTTTCTACACAATGATACAAAATTAACTAAAAAATCATTGAAATTGTAGTGGCGCAACTTCAAATTCGGTGGCTGCAAAGTTATTATTATAAGATTAAAGTATCGCTTTATAACTTTTGATTACCTTTTTGTTAGTATTAATTTTAAACAAGAGCTAAATAAGTAGTCGGCCTGGCTTACTTAGATTTGGTTACTTTATATATTATGAAAATACTTTTAAAAAACCAACAAAAACCTCAATTTCTGGGACCCCAGTGTTACTTTGTCAAATTTGCCGTTTAACTCTATTATGATGATATATGGATTTTATTTAGACAATCGATGTTTAAATATCATATAATCAGAAATCAATATTATTATTTTATAGTAAGGATATTTAAAAATTTCTGTACCTATTTTTATTATTCTTATTGATATATTATATTACATAAAACTTTTAGAGTTGACCCATAAGAGAAAATGCATTTTAAAATCTAATATAATAGTATATTGTTTAGCCACACATTTACGGCACTGAGTAAACAAAAACACATTATCATGTATCCTAGTAGACTGTTGACAAAAACAGTATAGAAGAAAAAGCATTTTAATGTATTTAGAACAACACTAATGAAAATGTCAATCGAGTCATATTGTTGAAAAGAATGCATTAAAATGTGTCAACATTTTTTGATATTATTTATATAAAATATTTTTAATTTTACCATACAATTCGAGTAATTAATTATTTACGATTAATTTTTATTAATAAAACACAAATTAAAAATATTTTATCATCTCTAGATTAAATGGCAAACAAATAAAATGTTGCGTGTATAGGTTAATTTAAATCTATAACTGAATTATAAACAACAAAAAATTCAAAAACAACTCAGAAAATAGAAGTATATATGACATCATTTATGTTTCAAAAAATACTGGTGCTAATGTATTAATATAAGTCGTTCCTATAAAATGTATTGTTATAGCAAAAATCTCACTTAAGTAAATCAATACATACAAATTACCGTAAAAACGAAAACGATATTTTATTATTACGAGCAATTGTTGCGACAATAGAAAACCTATAGATTTTGACCTAATTAACTTGGAAAAACGTTTGGCAAACCCAAGTGTCTAATAGCACGCGAACAAATCACTGATGGCTGTTTTGTTTTAAATTAGTTTTTTATCGCCCACTTGCAGTCGTTGTTAAACCTTACAAGAAGCTTATTCGTGTATACATCCACACGCCGTTTGCATTCAACTTCGCGAAGGCAATCAACAGAATTTTTTTTGTTTCAGTTCGATACACTTGTTTCAAAGATACCGGTAGACCCATAAAACTGAAAAACGTTATATTGTAAATATTTGTTCTACTACATATTATACGAGAATATTTTTCCCTCCATGAACTGATACAGCCTCTGATGCAATATTAGACAATAAAGAAAAAATAATAATAATAACATAAAATTGCGTGTTAGGTATTTTCCTGTCATCCTTTGCCACACTTCCGCTACTTTTCGAGGAAACTTTTTCCATTTCTCCGTCGAAATCAAATAAAAGTTTAGTTTTTTTATAAAAAAAAAAATCATATACGCAAACTTGTTTCGGCGACGAGGAAACCTAACAAAGAGGGTTAAGACGCAAAGAAAATTTCCGAAACGGAAGGCATTAGATTACGAATGCACCTCTCGCGATTATAAATATAATAATATGAAAACTAAAAAGCCACTTTGTAGCGACGTGGGTAGACGAAACGCGTTTTGTTTCATTTCACATTTTCGTACTTTACATTTTTTTACCACCCCTTAAGTGTAATAACAATTTATTCACCTTGCCAACAAACTATGATAATTTTTCTACACAAATGTACATACACAAATATGCTCGCGCAGTACTTCTGACGTTGTTATTGATATTATGTAGACAATGTGTATAACATTTGTACGATATTTCTTTTCTTCGATAACGTCAATTATGTTGCGATGGACTTTTATCACGTCACTATATTTTTGGGTAGAAAACACAAACTCGATGAATTTACTGTTTATTAACCGAAACAATTATACCAACCACGTCATGATAACTTATACGTTTCTTTGTCGGTAAACATTGTGCAATGCAAATAATATTCTTTGTGTTAATTATTTTAATACATACGAGTACAAAATTATTGTGTTATTTTCCCTGTTATCGACTCGTTTACTTTTATTTTTCACCTTAATAAATTTACGAACTTAGTAAAAATTTT